GTCTAAAGTAAGGATTACTGGACTAAAACCAATGTGTTAGTGGGGCTGTAGTGTTTCCCAAAGACTCTGGGGTCAAGTCTGTTTCTTTTCTTTCGTTTTCCAACTCTTGCTAGCCCCCAGCATCCTTTGATTCCCAGCGCCTTGTCTGTTTTGGTCGCCGCAGTGACAAGCTAAATCCTTTTCCTGTCATCGTCTTTCTGAGCCTCTTCCCTCATTTCGTCTCTCTCTGACCACAGCAAGGTAAAAGGATTCTTTATTCCATTGCATCTGCAGAGTTCATTTTTCCATATAAGGTAATACAGTCAAAAGTTCCAGGAGCAGGGTGGGACCCTCACACTGCCCACTGGAAGCTCCATTCATGGGGGGATGTGTGTTATGCATGCCATCAAGGAAAACTTCAGGAGGCTCAAAATAGGCATGTTGGCAGTAAGAATATACAGTGGCCTGACTGTGGGGGAGAAAAAGGAAAACCAACAAACAAACAAAAGCTAAAATAAAAGTTTAAAAACAGTCATTCAACAAAATACAGTAATTTAGAACAAATGTATGTGATGGAGAGAATTCATGATCATGTAGATGCTTTGCAAGTTGTCTCTTTATTTGGTGAACCTGAATCACCAAAGGAAAGGAAATGCTTTACCCACTGTTTAAGAAGGCAGGCCATACACTAGAAAGGTTTCCATACAGAATAATTTATATTGAACATTTTCCATATAAAGCAGTAGGCTCTGTGTTTCTGCTCTCTCCAAGAACAGTGATGAAGGAGATTTTAGTACTGCTGTGCAGAATTCTCAGTGCTTCTAACTTGACCGCACTCTTCATTCCAATGTTTAAATATGCTAGAATGAACTGTTTAATTTTACCAAAGGGGAGTATTCCTTAATGGTAGCAAAGTATGTGGGAAACTGAATTGTAATGTGAGTTTATTTATAATGGCTATGAAAGTCTTTCAAGAAAGATTTTTTCAGGGATATTTAAGTATTATTGAATTAGTATAGATTTAATTTTAACCTTGACCAAATAGGTTGCCATAAAATGAGCAAAGTCGTATCTTTACAAATATCTGTACTTCACTGAAATAAAAAGAAATTATTCTATCCAGGTGAAATGATTTTAAAATTGTATAGCAGTCTGTGTTAGTGTATTTTAAGATACTATCAAAGGACACACACTGAAAAATACAATCATTTGAAAAAGGTAGGATATTCAGCTGTGCATGGAATATGGAGCACACTTGTCTCCATATGCTTGGCATTTGAAAAATTATTAAAGTTCTGGAGATAATGCCATTAAAGTGCTCACAAATGATATAACAGATTTTTGTCAGTTCTAGGACAGTTTGAGGTAAATAAAAGGACAATAATTATCATTGAGCAAACTTGAGGATGTAGTCCTTATTTCACCAAATATATCTGTAAGTCAATTCTTCATCTTTAAAATTAGGATCCATGAAAGTTAAATTTTGTTATTGCTTGATACATTGTAAATATTCTAAAATTTTAGCTTCACTATTGTGTTGTTTAAAACAAATATAAAACTTTGTAGAATCCACATTTCTATTCCAATATTCTGCTGTGCAGTGCTGAACTCTGTGCGTGTCTGTTGAAAGCCAGACACTCTGTGTCAGGAACCCGATTTCACTCTTTCTTGTCCATTCAAGGTCATTGCTCTGGTGTTTCCCTGTCTTCCGACCTGTGCCACCAGTTTCCTGTAGACATCCTGGAAATTCTGTCATCTTACAAATAACCCCTCCTCTGCCTCACTTCCTTGTCAGCCACCACCCCACTTTGCTTCTATTGATGCATTTATTTGCATGCTCTGACTCGAAGTAAATGCCTTCAAAAAAATTTGCCTACCTTCACTGTTTTTGGTTGCCTTTTTCCTTGTACTTTCTTAAATTCATTTCAGACTGGCTTTGCTCCATATTGCTTTGACAGAAATGATCCCGAAATAACATGTTAGGACACTGGAGCTAGTTTTGCTCTCTCTCTGCAATACTTCTGCAGATCTCTGCATGGATAGCATTGTAGCTCTGTCCAATATTTGGTAAAATCCCTACCAGTCACCTTATTAAACATTTCAAGCTGTTTTGAGACATACTACGGTCTTTAAAATGATAGGGTAAGAGCCTGTGCTCTGTGGCCTTTTGTTTAGGTTCAGGGGGATACATGGGGATTTGATTTTCCATGTAACCCTCCTTGCAACAAAAACTCAAGAAATGCATACAAGCACAGAAGGCAATAGTACCCTGCTGAAATTACCAGGTAGGAGAGCAAGCACCTACATAGATAAATGCCCAAGAAGGACTATTTCACTGGAAGACAGAAGCTGAGGAGAGAGGGTCTGCAGACTCAGTGCAGTGTCATCTGTCATGTGTCTGGCACGCATGTTCAGGGTGTGCAATGATTTGCGAACATTAGAGATAGCTGGGAATTCACGAGATATCTGTCTTTTGGTGCTGTGTCTCCTCTTTTGTTGCCTGTCCTGAGTCATTGCTTAAACCTCAGTACAGGCAGACCTTGGAGAGAGTGCACGCTCAGTAAAACAAATCCAGGAATCAAGTGAATCACACAAACATTTTGTTTCCTAGTGCATATAAAGTTGTTGGCACTCTGCTTTCATTTATCAAGCGCGCAGTAGCATCTTGTCTAAGAAGCAGCGTGTGTACTTCATTAAAAATACCTTACAACTAAAAAATGTTAGTGATCCTCTGAGCTATTGAAAAAATGGCACCAGTAGTCTTGGTCAGGGAGGACAAAGCTTCGGTTTGCAAAAACTGCAGTATCTGTGAAGTGCAAAAAAGCAGAGCACAGTGGAAGGAGGTATGCCACTTCGTGCTGGGTGATGTTTTTGGTGCTTTGTAGGGTGACTGTCAGTGTGAACCTGAGATCACTGCTGCTGATAGATCAAAGTAGTCATTGTCATTGTGGCCCTCTTTACCTGGCTCTAATTTTTCTTTGGACTTGCTGTGTAACTCATTTACATGAGTCATCTTCCATCAGTAAGAAGGTAGCTTGAGGCCAGAGACTCCTGTCTTTTTGTTCATTATATATCCATAGCAATTAGGACACTGCTTGATATACACTAGCATTCGAAACATAGTTGGTGCATGAATGAATTAATGAATGAATGAACAATTGCTTAAAAAATATTCACCCAGTGCCAGCTATAAATTACCCTTTCTGCTTTCATGTTTCCTAGCTCTTAGAATATGGATACTATCCTTGGACAAATTGGCCAATTTGAGTCTCCTGAGGGGAGCTTCCCAAATCATATGAGGAGAGAGGGCCTTGGAAGATAAATATATTTAAAGGGAGTTGCATCTTAGCAAGGACAATATAAAAGAAAGCTTGAGACTTGATAGATATTTACACATGTGATAACTATGTTATAATTTCCTAAAAAAGTGAAACTCCCCAAACAAATCATGTATACAAATTGATCTTGATGGTGATCTGGGAATGATCACATGAACAGTGCACCCAGCAGTGCTCAAAGTACTCTTCAACAACGTTAAGTTCAATTCCTGCTAGACAAGAGACTGTGGTGGTAAAGGTATAGAAGGTGTTGAGTTTTGTTTCCAAACCACTAGATCTCCACAGGTAGCATTGTACTGCTAGAAATTTTAGCAAGCAATCATTACCCATTCGATCCAGTGTAACGTCTAGTTGTTAGTGTGTAGATACTAGTTGAAAATAATAACTCAGTTCCTTTAAACATTTGACTGTGTGCATCTGGGGTTTTGTGTCATTTTAAAATGCTGTAGCTCGTAAAAGAAATTTCACATATTTTAAAATATCTTCACATCTCCTTGCCTTTGTGTATGCTGCTTATCTGTCCTGGCATGGTCATCTTTTATTGATATTGCACACTCCCAAATCCAGCCAGAGACCCGTTTTCTCTCTGGCTGGTTGTGGTGTTTTTTTCCTGCCACAGGCTCTCCCCTTAGGATTAATTGATTAATTGCTTTCTTCTCTGTGTTCCCAAAACATTTATCACAAGGTGTGCGTGTTATTTATTTACCTGCCTCCAAGTTTCAAGGACATCTTCATCATCTTAGTTTCCCTAGTGATCAGCACGGTCTCTGTCTTGTGATGTTCAATAAGCAATTATTGAATTAGAGCACTGAAATACACTTCTGCTTGGCCACTGGTTCATCCTGCAAGTATTTATTAGGGTTTGTTTTTTTTTTAACATGCAAGGCGCTATGTTATGTGTTACAAGGATAACTGAAAAAAAAATCACATGCTCAAGTTTGTGAAACTCCACAGTATATTAAAGAAATACAAATCATGCATAAAATAACTGTAATGCATGGTAGAAAGTGCTATTTTCACGTAGGGATGTATGCGTGCATATATGTGCGTGTGTATATAAGTGTGTGTGATTACTTTCCGCTATTGTGTAAAAATACCCTCTGACTAGCTAAAGAAAAATATTTCCTCATTAAATTGGTAAAAAGCATTCCACACAATTCTTTTGCTGTCTCAGAAATTAGGTTAAATTTTGTCTTAGATCTAAAAATACATCTGCCTCTCCTCAGCTTGGTGAGCTGTTGTAGATGATTGGATTAGGAGCACTGTTCAGAGGTTGTGCTGCTACTTGCCAAATAGTCTGCATTTAAAACAGTAAAAGAAAGTTGCTTTTGGTGCCTTAAGGTATGAATTTTATGCATTCCCAAGTTTTTAGAAGTCACCCTAAGTGATAAATCCTTCACATGTTGCTACAAGTTTATTACTAATTGCCTTAGGAAATTGGTATAGAAAGCAGTTGACAAAAGTTAACAATAATGTCATTGAAAGAATAATTCCAACAAGACTTTCACTGGACCTTTTTTAAAATTTGTTGAAAACAGCTTAGTATGTAACTGTGTTTAACACCTTTTGTTTTTTTAATGTGATAGATTGACCTTATCCATGTGTGGGCATAAGTTATTAATAGTTTGTGTGATTACAGATTTTAACTGATGGGCACCAAGACATTTTTCTGTTTTTGTTTAGACTTGGATTATCACTTGCATTTATCTTCAACTGCTCCTATTTAATCCTCTCGTCAAAACTAAAGAGATCTGCGGGAATCCTGTGACTGATAATGTAAAAGACATCACAAAATTGGTAAGTAAAGAATGCTTTTCAGTAGCTCTGCCTCTTACACTTGTTGATGGGATTTGGGATTTTCTTGCCTCAGATTCCTATATTTTCTAAGATGAGGAAATGGATCATTGAGTTACTCTGAAGAATTTCTAGAGGTCAGATATGGGGATATTTAAGGTCTGGGAGGATTTATTGGTAAAATTGGCCCATGGTACACCACAGCAATAACTGTTCCTTTACTGGTCTTGTCCTCTCGGTCACAGACAGTGAAAGAGATCACTGTGACTGGCACTCACGTGTTCTGCATTATCATGTGAGTGAATTCCTCAGTGTGTCTGCGTCCTGCTCTTCTCCATCAAGGTTAAAACCAGGACACCTATTGTTCTCTATCAGCACAAAGACTCAGACATGCAACGGGTGGATATTTGCTTGTTCCATCAGAGCCTCTGGATGAGTCTTATTGCTTAAATGTGAGACATGCTCACCTCCTCTGTTCACCACATTGGCCTTCTCCCCTTATCAAAAGACATTTTCAGTGCTGTCCTTGCTCAGTGCCAGCTTCCTGTCGACTTCCTTTGATGCTTTTTTTAAAGACTGAAACCAGACAGAGGATGAATTCTCCATCTCTCATGGTAGAGAGGAGATTTTTCATATATATTTGCACTACGATATGTGATTTCAAGATAAACAGTGTTTGAGAAGCATTGTTGTTAAGTTCTTGGCTCAACATAGCCAGTTAAGTGACCCTTTGTTACTTGAATATTGACTGGAAAACACCGTGAAGTGCAGGATGAGGGAAACAGTGAAGGTTGTAGGGAGAAAAGAAAGAAGTGTCCTTGTGGACAGGTTAGTATATGGAGCAGAAAGGGTTCTATTTTTCTTCCGTATTTTTGATGTGTGTTCTTGGTTTACATGTTTCATTAAAGGTCAATAGCAGATTTTAAAAGGTTTACTCTTGCAGTTGAAGTATGATTTGCTCAGTCTCGTGTATAGAATTAAAATTTCTACATAGACACACCCACACACACATACACCTGCAAATTTGTGCGGATTTTTTGAGGCATTCAGACAGTACATGTTTAAAACCCTTATTTGCCTAGTGAGACTAGCACTGCAAAAATTAATGAATTCTTTGATGCGGAAGCTAAATGTATTAACATATTTTACATGAAGCAAATCAATACAATTTTGGCCTACTCTATATCCATCTAAGTGTTGAGTTTAGGGATGGAGGTAAGCTAGAAAAATTTTTTGCAAACACAGATCATGGGACTTTTTCTCATTTCTTGTTAGTTTTTGACCCAAGGAAGAATGTATGTTGACATTCTGAATTTTGGGTTTATGAATAGAAGAGTTTATTGAATGTTTGTTGGGTGAAAATAGCAGTGATGGATCCCACTTTGATCATTACAGTCACTTGTGTTGCCCATTAAAAATTACAGATACCTCAATCTTGCTCCAAGAAATTGATACAAAACATCTCAGAAGGGCTTCCGGGTGTCAACAATTTTCATGACTTTCTGAAAGTGTGTTTAAGAATCATTGCTGTAGCTGGTTTATTCTGTTAAAGTTTAGAGATCAAAATACGTCTTGGCCCTAATAAAATCTCAGTTTTTATTGTGCACTAGCTGTGTCTATATTGTATACCACTGTGAGGATGTCAGGTTAATGCAAACTCTGAAGTGTGCTTAAAGTAGGTCACCTCTCATAGAAATACTGTAACACTATGGGCTGAGATTGAGCTGGGGGAACTTGCAGTGGCCCTAGGGAGCAAATTTCAGATAGATGGCCATGAATCACAGTTGGCAGATGGTGGTGTGCCTGGCCACAGACTGAGCTCATCCCAGATATACATGCTCTTTGTGAGGCTGAGGCAGGAAATAGAAAACCTGAGGCCAGCTTGGACTAGTCAGAAAATCTTAAGGGGAAGTAAGAGAGAAACAGAATGAAATATAATTTGTCAGAATCATTATGTTTGAAATGTTTAAAGAGTATGACTTAATAAGTGCCATTTCCTGTGAAATGTCAAAGTGATATTTTTAAGTGGCATAAGTATATATTGTAAGCCTGTTGCAAGATTTTCTATTCTTGTCTTTAACCATCTGCGTATTATCAGCCAGTTACCTATTAATTAACACATTAAGAAATGGCAAGGTACTTTAATAAGACAAGAAAGAAGGGAAATGTCCAGAGAAGGATAATTATTAATACTGACAATAAAATATGATCTCTCACTCTAAGGACAAATATTAAATCACTAAGCTGGGGGGGGAGTATTTTCCTCTTCTAGCAATTGACTTGGGCAAAAACTAATTTCAAGAGTTGGTCTCGTGAAATTATTGGGTTTCTTTGGATAAAATTTTTAAATAAGACACTTGAAAACAAGTCAAGTTAATAAAAAATTGGCCTCAGAAGATCACTTTTAATTAAATAAAGACCTACATAATTCAAATCTGTATTTTATAGAAGAAGAAATAGAAAAATATAAAGCAATCCCTGAGCTCAGGGCATTAATAATCTAGTTTGGGAGATAAATTTTCTAAGTAACAGTGCACATGCATGTCACCAATACCACAGTAACAACACACTTTAAATACTATTAAAAAGATTTCATAATATAACATAGGTCCTAATCAGTGTAAATATATACAGGGGTTAAAAAATACATTTTGGATCTCTGCTCCTACTTAGCAATTTTGTAGTGTAGATTACATAAAAGAATTTCATAAAAGATTACATAAAAGAAAGAATATATATATACTATATATATTTATATATATATTACCAGTTATTGTCACATAGTCCTTTTGTGCCTCAGTTATAGAGATATTGATTATGCTTAATCTTATACCGAATTAAATAAGTTCATAGAACAGAGACTGGCACACAGTAAGTGCCTTTTAAATCTTAGCTGTTTATAGTTGTGGTAGTCATGGTTATGTTAGGATGCTGGATATGGAAGGAAATTTAGAGGCAATCAAAACAAAGTATTTTATAAATAAATAAGAAAACAAACCCAAGAGTGGTGAAACTCAGCTGTGGTCCCATTATAGTGTGATCCAACTTACCAGTGCTGTGTTTTCAGGAAGAGTTTCAAGCCAGCTTCCAAAGCCTACCATGATGTACTGTGGTATTAGTGACATGTGTTTACATATTGGAGTTTCCAAATAAAACTTGGTTTGCAAAAAGATCCAAGCCTATGAAAGAATGCTTGGAAGCTAGAGTTGGTGGAGTATCACTGAGAACCATTCAATTCCAGTATCTAAAGCTACATATCTAAGATACAACTATAAGGTTAGCAGTATAGAAACACTGGCTCTCAAACTTGTGGAAATATGATTTAGGAACCTTAATATTTTCCAGCAGCATCGAACAAAGCAATAATTTGCACACTAATTTCAAGATGGGTTAAGCCATAATACTTAGAGGGTAGTCAGGTTTGGTTTTTTTTGTTTTTTTTTTTTCATGTTCGAAATGAAGCTAAGTGTTTCTGTTCTAACCCATTAATATTGCTAACACAAACAACACACGTGGTGGTTTAATTTTATGGATACACATAAATGTAGAATTTTGCTAAAGAGTGGTGAGGCCAGGCACCTTGAGGGATGTGGGTCATACCTTGTTAGAATGCCAGCTGTACTCTTATTCCCTAGCTGGGTCACCTTCAACAAATTACTGAGTTTTTCTGGAGCTCAAAATCCTGATTTTAAAATGAGAAGCCTGGACATGATCAGTAGTTCCTAATCCAGGATTCACAAAGTTCCAATGCTTGCCCTTGTAACTCTGAATTTTGTCTTTATACCTTGATTTCCTTTTCCTGGGTAAAAAATACTTAGCTCTTTCATCCTTTTCCAGAGAGGTCTGTGACCCCAAAGAAGGTAATGACTAGAGAATTTGGGGAGTACTTCTCAGCTGTGAATTCTGTTCATTAATATTGTTTCTTCAAGTCGTGCCTCTTGAATAATTCAGTAATGTCTGGACTAAAGGTGGTGCAGAATGAGAAGCATTTGCTCAGCATACCCTTGGTACATTTTGTTTGACAGGAAGAAAGTGAGTTGACAAGGTGGTTTGCTCCCCCCCCCCATGTGCTCACAGTAATTCCATCAGTTTAGATCATCCCTTTGCCTTCTCTATCAGTTGTGCCCTTGAATTAGGTGGCAAATTGCATGGTGCCCACAACCAAGTCTGTTTGCTTGGGGTGATTCTCATGTCACAGAAGCACATGATCTATGGCTTTACATTATTTTTTTTATAACTTCTTCTCGGACACTTCGTACTCTCCTACTGTCCCCATGGTTTTTATTTGAAATCCTCTGGCATGTTTACTTAGCATAATAGTTCATTTATTTACAGAACATTTTGCTTTGTTTCTGAAAAATGTTGCAAGACTTGTTTTAAATGGCAAATGCAGACCTATCTAAGGAAAGAGTCAAGTGTCTGGGAAGAGAAGGAATAAAATTTTAAATGCCTGTGTCCATTGGTAGGCTACGGCTTTTAACATTTGTCAATGTTCATGTGAAAGATGAACACAAATACTGAAATAGTTTTGAGTTTGTTTTTCCCTTTTGTGCTCCCTGGTCTTCATTGCAATTATTTTTTTTTTCTTCATTTGGAGGAATTTAATGTGACTTTCTTGCTTTTAAAAAATATTTTTATCTGTTTAGTAATGATTTATTCTTTTCAAAATGTTTTTGAAGGTAAATTGCCCTCCCATTCCTTGAAATTGCATTCTTCAAGGTCAGTCTACAAATCAGTAGGATAGAATTGAAACAAAGGAGTCCATGGTTTTCCTGGTCCTGTCATAGCCACTTACTTGAAATCAGTTACATTAATATACAGCCTTTGGAGGTCATCATAACAAGAGGTGGTAAATATAGTTGAGATAACAAATTTTCACACTTTGGACATTTTTCATTGATTCTTGTTTTTATTCTTCTTCAAGTAGTATATATTTCTAATTGAATTACCTTTGCATTAAAGTGAAGAATTAAAGTCTCTGAATGTCTTCATTTCTAGATGAA